CTCTGTTCCAGTTGTTCCTTGTGATAAACCTGCTGACTTGGGCAATAGGAAGATGAGAGAAGGAGGGAGGGAGGGAGGGGGGGAGGGAGAGAAGGAAGCGGCAAGAGACTTACAGCCTCTTTGGATCCTCCCTGGTACTTTTGGCAGGAGAAAGCACAAGGCACTTTAACTGCACAGGGGGCAGAGGTGGGTATTCAACAGGTTCTGACCAGTTCTGGAGAACTGGTAGCAGAAATTTTGGTAGTTGGGAGAACCGGCAAATCCCACCTCTGACTGGCCTCACTGCCCCCATCTCTTCTCTGCCTCCCATTGAGTCCCAGCTGATCATTGGCTGGGTCTCCTTTGGTTGCCCTGCCCAGGAGAACAGAGCTGGAAAGCAGGTTAGTGGGGTGGGGAGGGAATGGAGATTTTTCAGTATCCTTTCCCTGTCATGCCCACCAAGCCATGCCACGCCCACCAAGCTACACACACACAACCAGTAATAAAAATTTTTGAATCCCCCCACTGACAGGGGGGGCCAAGAATTCAAATGCAGTGAGGGTGGCAAGGCTTATCCAAGCCAGAAGAATATTTCATTTTTATATAAAAAAGCTCATAGTGAGAATTAAAAAAAATAAACATGTGATATTAGGACAAATATAAAATGTTTGAAATGCCCAGCTGAGTGGGGCTGATCTTGAAAAACTAAGCTGAGCTGATCCTAATTAGAACTGGATAAGAGACAGCAGGAAAGCTCAAGTTTGTAAGCTGCATTGGGAAATCCTCTCCTGTCCCCAAGACGATGGCTGGCTTGCTGCCAAGAAAACAACCTGGATACGTCCGTGAAGACCCCCAAAGTCAATCTGAATTTACTCTATGTATCTTTGTCAACGACTCTTTGTCGGGCAGCAGGTTTGTGTGGCTGTCTATCCATCTACAAGGGCATTTTCATTAACACCACAGAAGTAGGAAGGTCTCCCATTTACTGAGAGCCTTTTCTACACAATGGTGATGTCCAGTTTGAAATTCTAATAGTATGATCTCAGTATTAATAAATACTTTTCCATCTTGAATTGTTTTACCAAGTTGGAACAGAATAGAACAGAGCAGAGCAGAACAGAACAGAATAGGAATTCTTTATTGGCCAAGTGTGATTGGACACACAAGGAATTTGTCTTGGTGCAAATACTCTCAGTGTACATAAAAGAAAAGATACATCCGTTAAGAGTCAAGAATCATCAGGTACAACACTTAATAATAGTCACAGGGTACAATAAGCAATCAAATCATACTATAAAACAGTCAATATAAAAGGATATTGTAAGGATACAAGCGACAAAGTTACAGTCATAGTCATAAGTGGGAGGGGATGGGTGATAAGGAGCGATGAGAAGATTAATAGTAATAGTAGTGCAGACTTAGTAAATAGTTGGACAGTGTTGAGGGAATTATTTGTTTAGCAGAGTGATGGCATTTGGGGAAAAAACTGTCCTTGTGTCTAGTTGTTCTGGTCTGCAATGTTCTATAGCGTCGTTTTGAGGGTAGGAGTTGAAACAGTTTATGTCTGGGATGTGAGGGATCTGTAAATATTTTCACAGCCCACTTTTTGATTCGTGCAGGATACAGGTCCTCAATGGAAGGCAGGTTGGTAGCCATTGTTTTTTTTCTGCAGTCCTAATTTTCCTCTGAAGTCTGTGTCTGTCCTGTTGGGTTGCATGGTACATGTCTAATATATAATATGATTCCTCCATTTTTTTTCATTTGTCCACAGTCATACATTTTTCCTTGAGACATTTATATTCTAGCCTTTTTTTTAAAGGATCTCTTTAAGACATGTGTTTTTTAAAATTTCAAAACATTAGAGTTTTGACTATTCAGTCTATCAATATTTGTTGGAAATAATTTGATCAATAGTTATGTCCATTGTTAGTTGGTTTATGAAGAAAAAACTACTGCCTGGCCAGGTTTTGATATTCTGTGTCATTTTTAGGCTGTTCTGTTACTGTTAATGGCTGAGTTATTTTATTGGCATTCTCTGCTGGATATAGAAAGGATTTGCTTACCACAAAGATCTCCAAACTATAAATGATCTTTCTTTTTTGGACAGTGAATATCACAAATCACAAATCGCTTTTCTTTCTGAGTGGAACCGAAAGAACATCTGTAAAATCTCAGTTGTTGCTTCTCCAACTTTTAAAGGAATAAGTATTGGCCTTTTTAAATTCCAGTCTGCTATTTGAAATATGCAAATATAATGAGCATCTTACATGGTAAGTTTTTCTAAGTGCTGTCTATGAATTTATTTGGTAAATTTGAATTTCTAATGATTCTTCATCAAAATGATGAAAGTTTCATTTAATTAAAAATAAGGATATGCTTGAACATGCTAATGGACAGAAGAACTTCCCTGTTGATCAGGCTGAAGGCTTCATAGATTATGGTAGATTGCTGAGATCTACACAGGCAGCATCCATGAAAATTATCAGATGAGTGGGAACTGGCAGGATGGAATATGTTTCATATTTTTCTTAGTGACTTTCTTAAGTCACTAAGAAAAATATTAAATGTATTCTATCCTGTCAGTTCCTACTCATCTCCTGATGTTTTTGTCAGAATATATTCATGAACTGGAAAAGAGCTTGGTAACAAGGTCAGCCAATGAATAGGCATAGCAACTAAGTCAGCCAATGAGGACTGTTTGGAAACTGAAACTAGAATTAGCCTAGGCTGGAAACTGAAACTAGAAGTCGCCTAGGCATGGCTCTGTATTAAGCTCTGCAACTCTGCAGCTCTGTGAAGCTCTGAGTCTGTCTATTGAAAATGAAACTGCTTCTCTCCTCTTGCTTGCCTGTTGAACTAAAGTGAAACTGAAAGTTCTCTCTGTTCTGCTCTGCTGAGAGTTACTTGCAACATGTTTCTGTCTGGGTTTGCTCCATGTTGGAGAAATCTACAACTGCTTTGTAAAATCTACTTATTGTGTTTATAAAGATGTTAAATGAAGCATCAGCCATCTGTGTTTATTTTCATGGACACATTTAAGAAATGTTGTTTGCTATGACCTTATTTGCGGGGGAGCGGGGATTTCTCTCTTAGTTCCAGCCCTAGACTTTCCAAATTGTCCTCATCCAGGTGCTTCCTAGATCAACTGAGGTCAAATTGGTTCCAACAAAATTGGTTCTATCACACCGTAGAACACTTCAGAGGTTGATCTCTTCCTTCCAGTTCTCTTCATGTGGGTGGACTTCTCAGCCTTAAAGATTAAGGAGGTTCAGATATGCATGGATTTATTAGGTTGGTTTCTTTGGCCACCCACTGAGATCCCACTTATGTGGATGCAGAACAAAGATGACAATGCAAATCAGTAAAAAATGGAGTAAAGCAGCACATAACTAAAACTATAATAAAGTTGACAACAGGAATCGAAATAAAGCAATATTTCAAATGAAAACATGCTCCAAAGAATCGTGTGAATTGGCATCTCAGAGAGCAAGAAGGACAACTGGAAGTCATTCCAGGCTCCCCGCAATGACAGTAGGAAGTCAAGAAAAACTAAATCTTGCTTTGTGTTCCTTTATTCATAATTACCCATTTAATACTTGTGACTCTGGTCCTGGCCAATTCTGGCCAAAAAGCCAAGACAGACAATTCTTGCCTTCCATTGCAAAATTGCCCAATCTCCTTTCTCAATTGTGGTTCTTGCATAGTTTCTCTCTCTCTCCAGATGCCAAAAAGGAAATGAGAAATTCAGAGAGTTTTTTCTTCTCTTCTTCATCCTACTTCAGAGCATACACTTTAACAGATTCCGTGGCTTCTAATAAATTCATAAAACTGCTTCTAAATATTTGTGTTCCCTTGAGAGGCTCTAAGATGATGAAGTAGAAGTGAATAAAATAAATGCATCAGAGGAGGGAAGGATTCTAATAGTCTCTTATATTTAGAGCAAGATAAACGGTGAGTCAAGGAGACCATTTTCATTAACTTTGGAAGTCTCATCTCACCCTTAAATTTCTTTGATATTTCCATTTTTAATGAGTGGTTACCTCGCTTAAATTTAATCAGCGCAATTCCTGTCAGACTCTGACATATTCAGCAGGATTATGGGCTGCTTCTGCCAAGTTAATTAACCCCGGAAGCCCAACAACCGCACCAAGGAAGGACAACCGCTCTAAAACACCTCCCCTCTCTCTACAGACCATACCTGGAGGTTCATTTTCCAAGAAAAGGACACTATACCTTAATGGAGCTGAATAGCCTCTTCCTGTAGTTTTGCATACTTGGAATAAAATCCCACGAACCCAATTTCTGCATGAACTTGTGTAGACTTGCTCTGCAAAAGCAAGAAGAAAGAACACACTTGCATAATCGGCAGAAATCACAGCCTTCTGCCTCCCTTTGTGCAGACCTGCATTCAGAGAAAGATATTTGACATTGTTTGACATTATTTAAGGGGCTGGGCTGTCCATGTCTGGTGCAAAGATTAAAAAAAAAAGGAGGAGGGGAAGCCCAACGTGGCTTGGAGGCCCATCAATAAGTCAAGCCACAGTTATCTCCACTGGAATGCAATGGCTACAATTTCCATGGAAATTATTGAAATTAAGTCCAATTTTGCATGTATGAATAAACCAGTACATGCACATTTTATGCAATTATGCCCTTTATTTCAGACTGTGTGCGTGAGTGTATGTGATAGTCACTTAAACTGATAAAGAATTAGGCTTGTAAAACCAACGGGCAAGTATAGCCCAAACTATGATCTGATTTTTAAAAATGGATTTCTCCATACTGGAGCATAGAGTCCCAGACTTTGTCCTGGCCAATGGCAGCCCCTTGGTCAGCCTTGACTTATCTCAGAAGCTAAGCAGGGTCAGCCTTGGCTGGATCTTGAAGGAGGACCACTTAAGGCTCCCAGAATTCTTGGCAAGGTTGGGAATTGGAAAACAACAATAACACCAACACCACCACCTTCTACTGAATGGAATTATGAACTTTAACTGGAATCCTTGCAGTGCTTGGGAAAGGTGAGTCAGCGCATCTGAGGATGCCATTAAAAGGTCTGAAAAGTGCAGGGAATTTTGCCTTTAGCTCCTGGCCCACAAAACTCATTTCATAAAACTAAGGCTCACCGCTGTTCCCGGAGAAACAGTAGCTTTCATGTTTGCACGTATATATAATTACTGTTTCATTCCGCAGATACGTTATTTACGTCTCTGCTAATTGATGTTGAAAGTTCAATTACCTGAAACACAAAGGTGAGTGCAGTGGTTGTTCAGCCAGAGGAGCTGGGCTCAGGCAGAAACAACATTGCAAAGAGTGTGGAAGGCAACCCTTTGTTGTGGTGGCTGTTGCTTTCTATCAGCCGATTGGCAAGACAAGCTCTCTCGGCAAAGAGGGCCTGTGCCAAGCAGTTCTGTGGGCCTGGCTTAGTGGGCGTGGCAGGGGAAGGTTACTGCAAAATCCCCATTCCCTCCCCACCTGCTTTCCAGCTCCATTCTCCTGTGCAGGGCAACCAAAGAAGACCCAGGCGATCAGCTGGGACTCAATGGGAGGCAGAGAAGAGATGGGGCTGATGGGGGGTTGATGGGGCCAGTCAGAAGTGGTATTTGCCGGTTCTCCGAATTACTCAAAATTTCCACTACCCGTTCTCTAGAACCGGTCAGAACCGGCGGAATACCACCTCTAGTGCCAGGACTGCCACGTATGCACCAAAAAAGTTCTGATGACGAGAAGCCCAGTTTTCTGTGCCTCTTTGCTGCCAGCCTCTGGCTGTCCTGAATACTGCAGCCCAGATATGGCAGCCCTTGACCTCCATATTTTCAACAGTTGATGTAAGACTTTATGGATTGTGTCAAGAGAAGCAGCTCCAGCTGAAGTTAGATGTTCTCAGCACTGGCTGCACTGCATTTACCCGCCCCCAAAATAGGTTAGCTCCCTCTCTCTTGATGTTCCAGAAGTCCCCCAAGGCCTGGCTGTGTCTGGGAGGCTCCTGTGTTTTCATGCAGCAAGTATGAAAGAAGAGCAGCTGGCTAATGGTTAGAGCAAGCTCCTCTTTTCCTTAGCTCAGCAGGTCATACCCATTGTCGGGTGGTTGCCAATTGCTGGGAGGATCTGGGTGTAATGGAGATGGAAGGTGGGGAGGCACATGGTCTCTTCAGTAAATCACGCCTTGGACACACGTGTTCAAATCAACCCTACAGAGAAATGCCAGTCCATAGTTAGGATGATGAGTAGAGCTTCTCCTAAACTGCACAGTCCAGAGGTCAGATGTTGTTGTGGTTGTTCTGCCATTAGGGCTTAACCTACCGTAACAATTTCTCATGTCAGTTCTCTGAAAATATCCATCTGTTCACAGAGAGGAATTCAACAGTTTCTCTTTTGAAGGTTTTAACTGATCCCATTTACAGTACTAATATAATTCCTCCTGCTAGGAAGGTATAGAGTAGCATAGAAATAGTAACATTATATATTGCTATTATCTTTGTGAATAAGCCAAGTCTGGCTGGCACTCACCTTTTCTTTTCTAGTCTATTCTTTTCTTCTTTTCTTTTCTTTCCTAGTCTATTCTTTTCTTCTTTTCTTTTCCTTTCACTATTCTTGTTGCATCAATTACTCTTAACAATATTCTGTTCCTCACATGACATTGTGCAAGACAGTAAGGCAGATTTTTTTTTTTTTTTAAAAAAAGAAAAATCTGCAAAAAGTTAATGTTTAATGGCTCGCTCGGGAATGTTGTTTGATGTTTACACTTCCTTTGACTAACCTAATTTATAGAGTGAATTAAGGTTATATAAGACCCGGGCTTGGCAAATTAGTTACTAGTACTTGTTGCCCAGAAACTATTATGTTCTTCAGCGCAGCATGCCTCTGAATGAACCATTTCGATTCTGAGCTCTGCTCTCTCTACCCCCCGCCCCCCAGGAGCGTTAATGCCCTTCCGAGCTGCGTCTGCAAGCAATTTTGTGATGCCGCCTGTTACACCTTGAGCAAAAATGGAGGCCGGAAGGAGAGGGCTGCGTAGGCGCCCCGGTGGGTCCCTGTGCACGGAGGACAGGCCACCTTTCAACAAGGAAGCCATTAAGTGGCCTCTCCTGGACAGAAATCTGGGTGGAGGGGAAATGATCCCACAACCCTGTGAGATTGGGGGAGGGGGCTGCCCATGTTGCTCTGCTTGGGAAGCAGAAAAGGCCGAAGTGATTCCTAGAGGAAACCCCACTTTGAAACAAGACAATATCTGACTTCAGTTCACGTGAAGTAATAATAATTTATCAGGACCACTGCATATACTGATGTTATTGTTTACACATATTTCTGTGCCATAACATGAAGGGTTGGAAGTAGATCTGAAACTGAACAGAGACTTGGCGCAATTGGAACTCGGATCCGCGGCAGCTGCTACTGTCCCTCAAATGTGCAAATGCTCGGAGCTGCGCCCTGCGATGCCGCTGCCCATGCGCCTCTTCCCCTTAAGGCCAACCCCCCCCTCCAAGCTCTGTTTAAAGCCCCCAACTCAGTGGTGGCACCACTGGAGGAGGAGCTGGGGCCTTGTCCAAGCACCCCAGTCCAGGGGTGACCCAGGTGGGTTTCTTCACCTCCGCCCAAAGGGCAGTTGACAACTCAGCAGCGGAAGAGGCCGTGGGTGGCTCACCAGGTCAGGGCAAGACCTGCGAGGAAGACACCCCGCCCCGAATGTGTCTTTTCTGCACAGGGGGGGGGGAGGAGCTTTGGCACCCCTGGGTTGATTTCCACCAAGAAAGGATCGAAGGGAGAATCTGTAGAAACACAAAGGACCAGTGGTGGGATTCAACCGGAGTGACCACCGGTTCAGCGAGCGTGCTCAGCATTTGAAAAGCGCCCATTTTCAGCTCTAAAATGTACCTTCTGCTGCAGCCCCAGTGAGTATAACAGCTGAGGTGTGGCAACCTGCTGTGCCGCGCAAATCAGCTGGGCTGCAAAACACGGAAATATAGGACAGACTAGCGCAGGGGCGGGTGGGCGGAGCCAACGAATGGTCGTAACAACCAGTTCGCCTGAACTGGTCCGAACCGGCAGAATCCCATCCCTGCAAATGACCAAATACAGTCCTCCATTTTAGCGGATCCTTTGTGCTTCGGAATAATCCGGGTTTTTTTGCTGCAACTGGGACTTCCCTTCTGCCCAGTCCTGAGAGGTGGTCACAAGGAAGCAGCTTTTGAGGTGGAACGTGGCTCCTAGCAGGCACCCATGGAGGCGAAGGGAAGGGCCGTCTCTTCCCCTATAATAAGCCCTGTCAAGATTCAGGTTCTGGGTGTGGAAACCCTTGGGTCGACTCATAAAACATTTCTATGGTCTTTTTAGAGTTGCCAACAGAAAGGGAGAGGGGATTTTAAAAAACAACCCTGTTGACTCTAATATGGGCATATATGCAGCCCTCTCCTCCCAGCCTCCATTTTTGCTCAAGGGGTACCAGGCAGCATCGGAGAATTTCAGGAACTTTTAGCAAACCTAAGAACAAAACCTTAGCAGGGATAAACTGCATACCTGGAGGACTGCATCAAACTCGTTCCTAAATTTGTAAAGCGCTGCTGCTAATATCCAAACCCTTCGATAGCTGAAAGGTTTCCAAACACACAAGAAATTCAGAACCCAATAGAATAACGGGTGGGGGTTGGGGGCCAAACGTGGCCTTTTGTTTCATACAGCTCGTCTGTTTACCAGAAATGCTACTTTGCAGATTTTTACAATTAACATTCCTGCCATGTATGCAACTCTGGGATGAAGCTAATAAATTCTTTCAAGCTCACATGCAGCTTATTTTTTTTCTCTAACCATTTAATGTTGATTGTGGACTGTAACATTCCCCAGGGTCCCCCTCTGACTTCCTTCTCAAAATTTAGATCTTATCTGTCATCGTGCCCCCCCCCCTCCCAGAAACGCCTCTGGGTCAACATCTCAGTAACACATTAATTTTAGGTTGTGAGAAGCATCATGTAGAGTATTTTGGTTTGGCATATGAGAAGCCTGTTATAATGCTACAAGTTTTTTTTTAAAAAAAATACTAGGGATGGGGAGGGGGAAATCAAAGCCAATTGTGGTTTATGGAAAGTATTAGTGTTCTAAACAGTCCTCTGTGATAAATGCAGATGGGGGTGAAAACGCTCCAAACGTACATTTTTAAAAAGATTATTCATGTTTTAAGGCTTCAAATGCAAAGTGGCTTAGCATTTAGTGCCTAATAATAGACGATGGCTATCACATTTCCAACCTTTATTTCAACCATCTTTGAAGTCCAGCCATATAAAGTCTGTTTGTAGAACCACAGGAAAGTTAAAGCAAATATGACGGGTGATTCATCGAAGCAGGAATTTGCAATGAAATACAGGCTGGGAGGGGAGGGCAGGGGAGGGGAGGCCCTCAGTCTGTATCAAAGGAAATGAAATGTTTGCAATATTTTCCAGTTGATAACTTTATTAAAGCATTTTAGAATTATGTAGCTTGAACGCTGCTGACATAAACAATCTTTGACCCGAAGCAGATTATATTAGACTCTGTGGGGAGGCAGAATTAGAGGGGGGGGAGAGGAGAGGGGAAGAGACTTCCTAGATTTAAGGGGAAAAAAATGCCAGAAGGTCATGGCGACCCCTAATTGACTGCACCAGAGCGGAAATTTTTACTGGGGGAAGTAGACGCAATCCTGTGTTTGCTGCTGCCCAGGCTGGGGGGCACTTTAAGCTGGCTTTGTTTGGGCCAGGATCCCTGGTTCAGTGCAAAGCATTCTGGGAAATCCTGCAGGACCTCCTTAGGGACTTGCCATGTCCGGAGAGGGTCACCAAATCTCCCCCACCTCCTGGCACAATGCACCTGGCATGGAGGGGAGATGGGCAGGGTTTGTGGTTCCCAGGTGTCCTGTCCGAAGGAATCCCAGGAGGAGGATGGGCTGAGAGAGCAGCCTTGCTAAGAAAGATCCCCGCTCTCTCTTCCATCCGCAGGTCCTTTGGGAAGGATCCCTCTCTCTCTCTCTCTCTCTCTCTCTCTCTCACCAGATCTTGTACTGCTGAGCTGCAGTTGCAAAAGAAATTAATTTGTTGCTTGTTATTACACATTGGCAAGCTTTCTGCTGCAAGAATGTAAGCAATCTTTCTTTGTTTTCCAGATTTAGTTAATCTGGCAGTTAAAATACTTTGGAAACATTTTAATGACTTATCTGGAAAAGTAGCTTTGGTGTTTTTCAAAAGAAAAGCTTAAGCCCTGTATGCCAGGGGAAGATAAAAGATAGAAGTGTTTGTTCTAAGCGATACTATTCATTTAGAGATCATAATGTAACCCAACCCAAGCAATTATTCTGCAAAGAAAAAGAGAAATCTGCTTATAGTGTTCTTTGATACAGTCTTGTAAAGCACACAACACACACACACACACACACACACACACACACACACACACACACACACACA